TATTAGTCATAATCAAGTATTCGTCACAAAGTGGAATGGTTCACAAAAATATGCTTAAATACGCTCCTATTTTAATGCTAGTAACATTCTTCTCGGATAAGATTTATGAGTTATGGGCTATTTTGATATTTAATATCAAATGTTAAATACTAACGATGTGCTAATAACCATAATCCCTTATAACAAAATCTTCATGGATGGTTCGAAATACAATTTACAAAATGTAATTTCAAAACGAAATGAAAACATTCATTTCTTTTAAAGTGGGTACTGTACATTTCATGTAATCACATACTAAAATTCCTTCGATTTTGTTTCAAACTAATAAGTGCCATTCAAATAGCTTTTGGTTTGAAAAAAATGTATATAAATACGTAGAACAATATATGATTTCATCTTTTCTAGATCACCAAGTATTAGAGATAAATTGATTATTTAATTGAGAGAATTAGATGTACAGAACACTTTTTTAAGAGTACGCCAAGAAAATATAATCCCAAGTACCTTATCCTATGATGGAGTTTCCAATCAATTTAAAAGTGTTCTTTGCTCCTAAAGATGTTTTATCTTGTCCTAAAAATCATGGATTAACTTTTTATATATTGACAGTAGAATGATTTTTTTGTTTTACATTAGCAAGTTTGGATTTATGCCACATGTGTATAATTTGAATTTATGTTATGTGGTATGATCTAAACCTGCTACTGTAAAAAAAAAAAAAAAAAATTAATACACTGATAGTGTATAAAAAAGTTATCCATAAACTTTTAAGAATAAAGAATTTTTTTCCTTTGTTATGATTTGGTATAGAATTTTGCACACAAGTATTAGATTCGCATGTAATTCTGTATAATTCAAGAAGCCACAATATATTCTTGATAAGAAGTCTTTATCTGATGGATACATGAGGCAACAATAATATGCTTCAACAAAATAATTTCCATCAGAATTCCTTTTCTAAGGCTTGGGGTATCAAATGATGCATTATGCTACTTCTTTTGCAAGTCACGCAATTTATACTTCTTGAACACACAATATCAGTTATAGGTCCCCTTATTCTACACAATCAAGACAATTTTACTTTGATTAAAGTTTTAAGCTTTAATTCATTTCCAGTAAAAACATTACTTTTTTTTTGGTGCTTTTTCCAGGTATATGTTTGTGATTATTGAGTTGATTAAAGAAAATCCTAAACTTTAATTTCTTTATTACATTTCCTTTAATTTCTTTGTTGATATCCTTTAAGCAGTTAGAGCAGCAAAAAGGGATATTAATTCCCACTCCCAAGTAACTGTAGCTTAAATTGATGTATGTTTGTGTGAATTATGATTGAAAATAACCTGCTGTGCAAATATACAGAAGTTGTATTTGTTCCCATTGAAACTATCAATATTTTCATTTATGCCCTTGTATAAATAACAATTTATTTTCTTAAAATCTTAATAAAGTATAAAATTTTCCCCTAGAGGATTATTTCCTGCTTCAATGTTCTTTACATGTTTACTTAACACTAAAAAGGAGCTGCCTTGTCTGGTTCCTTTCTTTTTCAAGTAATACGTAAATTCCAAATTACTTTTTTGACTAATACTTGATTATGATATCTCTAGACTCCTTTGCATTATGTAAGATAGCTAGTTTTTGGCATTTTTGGTAATATTAAGACTCAATTTGGATGGCAAATCTTTTAGGGGCTTTTTTCATTAAAAAAAAATACTAGGACCATTCTTTCTTAAAAAAAAAAAAAAAGACGATCAAACATTTTGTTTAAATAAAAAAAAAAAGAAGAAGAAAACAAAAAGCTTCAAGGACATAACACCATTTAAAAAAAAAAAACTAATCTATGATGTTAATGTAAAAGTTGAATCTTGCTGGTGTAAAGCTAATTAAGGATGTAGTTTCTTGTTAACATCATGAACATTTGAATTCTCAATTCCTTAATTTTTTGGCATCTTCTTTCTTCTTTCTCTAAAATAGTTGAAGTGAAGTATTTTGTTATTTTGTTTGCACCAAAAGGTATCCAAGAAAAGCACATTTACCAGATAAAACCTAGTTGTGTATTCCTTTTTTGTTTTTTTTTTTTTAAATTGGGAGCTTAGTTGTGCATTCTTGTTTGTTAATCAAATGGCGTTTGGGGTTATGTGATGGGCACTTCATTCCTCAAGTTGTTCAATTTACGAAGGAATACTAACAGTCTTATTAAAAGATTAAATAATTGAAACAAAAAATAGGGAACACTAACAATGATCAACAGACAATGATTAGCAAGAGTCAAACAAGAAACAGTGCCCAATTCTTTTCTAGTTGCAGTACCCAAAACAGCCACCGGGCCTTGGTCATCCCAAGTCTTCTGCAAGGTTTGGTGAGGTGGGAGGTCAAGGATTCGAACATTATCTCCTACAAAAATTATCACAATATGTGACGGTTTTTATTGGCCATCTTCAATGGAGTTTCTACTCACATGATACATCGAGATAAAAAATAGACTAGTTTAACTTATAGGAATCCTATCGTTATGAAAAAAAAAAATTACCCAAAACACCTAAATGATTTTGTATTCAGATATGGTTTTTTAAACAAGAGTCTAAAGTGAAAATTTATCTAAAAGGGTTCTTTTTTTTGAAGATAGGCAAATTCATGATAATGGAATTATGTCGTTTATCGTAAAATAAATATTTAACTCACATTTAGACGTTTATCCGATTTAACTTCAAATATCCAACAAATTAACTACAAAAATGCATTTTAATTAGTGTCAGCAGCATACCTGTTAAACAAATCCATTATAAAAGCCAAGCTAAAAAATTTCCATCTTTTTTTTTTTACTATTTTCATCTTTTTACTATTGCTCTACTATTTTTTACCTTTGAGTCAAGGATCAAACAACACACGCATCCAGTTAGATTAACACTCAGTGGGAACCGAAAAAACGATCCAAACGAATAATTTAAAGAGGACCCACGAAGCAATCGAATTTAGCTAATTGATCACTATTGCTCTACTTCAAAAATTCCATTTTTGATATCACCTTTTAGTGGACCACGCATCATAGCTTGTAGACCAATCAATTCTACTATTGAACAGTCAACTTCGCGAAAAGCCATTTGAACCGATTCTCATGTCAAGTCTTTCAGTTTCCAGACATATGTGACCCACTGTCAATTGTCAACAATCCTGCATTAGACATCCTAACTTTTTTGAAAAATAAATAAATAAAAAGAGAAAAACTCAAAAAGTATCTTTGACATTCAACTTGCTGATTTAGAGCTATAAAAAAAAGTTTTATTGATTTCACAAAAGTTTCTGCATTTAAAATTTGAGTAACTCTGATACATACTGATAGTATATATACTATCGCCGTTGAATCTACGACACAAGTGCAAAAATTGGATTTTAATTCTAAATTTTGTATAATTATCATTCATTCAAAATTGACAGTAAGAAAGATTAATCCTTCAAATTTTGGAGATAAAAATACCCATTTAGTTTTCAAATATATTTTTTTGAGCCAATTAGAACAACCACTCAATTAGACATCCTAGATTATGTTAAAAAATCAATATAAAATTCCAGATCAAATTAGAATTGAACTTAATGCCAAATAATTTGCATCTTCAGTCAAGTTGTGAAACTGTATTTTTTTTTTTTTTTTGTGTGGTAAGAATGTGATTGCATAGCTAATCATTCAAGGCATTTTTTTAGTGACAAATGCTTATTCTATTGTATGAAAAATACACAATATATATATACATGCACACAAATATACGTAGACACCTTTTCAATTGTGCATGCATGTTCAAATCCTACTCAATATACTTTCAGAAGTTCTCTAATTTTTAATTTATGCGTAACAATAATATTCCAATTGTGGAATATTCATCTTGAATTCTTCTCAATAATTTTTTCTAATGTTCAATCTGTTATTAATTAGTCGATTTTAAAATTATAAACAACGATTAAATCAAATTTCAGAACCACATGTAGACAATCAATGATGCATCTATAAAAGTCAAACAAGATACTATAACTTTTGCATACTTTGGTCAGAAGAAAAATGTTAAAATGGGAAATTTGTGAAAGAAAGTGGAGGAAGGAAAATGAAAATCACTTTTATCTATATTTAATTGACAAAACTTTTGCGACAAAATGAGTAGTTAGAGTGGTAGTTATTTGACAATATTTTTAATAACTAATATTTTTTCTCCAAAATTCTGGTAATTTTTAGAGTACAAAATGTAATAAGTAAGTGAGGGAAAGTATAGAAAAATTTTTCAACTTTCCCACAAAACAAATGCACACAAAGGAAAAAATAACTAACTTTTCTTCATTTTTTCCTTACAAACAAATATTAACTAATTGGCCTAGTTACTAACACAAAAAAAAAACAAAAAGCAGAGTTTAAGTTTTTTTTTTTCTTTTAAGGATACTAACAAATCTGAGCTGTAGAAACATGGTTAAGATTAAATAATTTTTTGTGGCAAATCACTTTTGTGTTCACACAAGAGGTATTTGAATTCCTCTTGTAGATATTATTATGAGCGAGGAAGGATAAACATAAAAAGTAACATGGAAAAAAAAAATTTCCTTTAAAATTCCCTTTATCAATATTATGAAAAAAATATATTAGCTCAATCCATTAATTCTTTTTGAGTTTTAAAATCCCAACCTTGATATACAAACTTTGTCCATATTGAAATGAAATACAATAAATATTCCAAATTTTACCTGCAAAGTTTTCATTTTCTCAAATTGCTCGCTTAAAAAACAACATAAAATACTTTCATAATATGTGTCTTATCTAGTTTTTTTTGTGTCAAATCGAAGAAGTTGAAGAAACAAGCAAGATTCAAGAAGGATAAAGGAGGGGTAAAAAAGCACCGTTTGTTTTTACGTCATTGAATCAAATCATAAATTCCTCCCCTACAATCTCCAACCACTTTTCTTCGATAGGTGAGAGAGCCCGCACGCAAAAAGGAATCTCCAAACAAGGGGAATTTGGAGACTCCTCACACTCATAGACTTCACTTTTTTTGGTCTCCATTGGCATTATCGCTCGATAGGTAAGTTCTTCATCATAATCACTTTTTACTTTGTAACAGTTCACTGGTTATTGTAGTGGGCTCTTTTTGTACTTTTAGCTGAAGAAAAGGCCTTTTTGGGTGCAAACAAAGAGTGCCTTTAGAAAAGAAAAAAAAAAAACTTGAATGGAGGTTCTTGATTGACTTTTTGGGTTCTTCGAGGAGTGGATTTTTGTGGGTTCATCCCATTTTTGGGAAATACTTGGAGGGAAGAGAGAATTCGGTAGTCAGAGGTGGGTAGATAATCAGCATGGCGGATTTTATTAAGGAGTTTTTCACAAAGAAGACAGTTGTGGCTTTTGGTTTGGGACAATTGCTCTCTCTTTTGATCACTTCTACTGGATTTTCATCTTCAGAACTTGCTAGAAAAGGTCTGTTTCACGTCTGAAACTCTCTATATTATCTCTGTGTTTGAGGAAGAGCCCGTAATTTTCTGTTGTTTGAAGTACTTGAAAATGGTTTTTTGCTGCTTCTTTTAGTATTAGTCTGTTTTTTCTGAATGAATTTTGAGGTATATATGATTATTGACTTCTCAAATTTGCGGGGGAAAAGAAGAATTAGATTTTGTGATTGTCTATTCTTAGTGGATTATATCTGTTACCTTGTGTGCACTTCTTAAACTCTTTAATGGGGGAAGAGGCTTTTGTTCATAAATTGTAATCCAACCAACCTTTTGTGATAGTCTATTCTAAGTAAATTATGGCTGTAATATTGTGTGCATTTAATGCGGAAAGAGGTCTTTCTTGATAAAATTGTAATCTGACCAACCTTTTTCTCCCATGTTTTCCTAGGAATTAATGCTCCAACTTCTCAATCTTTCTTGAATTACGTTCTATTGGGTGTAATATATGGAGGGGTTATGATCTACAGACGGAAACCACTGAAGGTTAGCTATCTATGTATCTGAGCTTTTGCGAGGGTGCTTACATTTCCATATAATTAGTTGGTAATAAGTTGATGTTATAGCTGTCTTTCTGATATTGAGGTGGTAATAGTTGATTGAATCTGTAAATGGTTTTCTGATCTTGAGGTGATAATAGTTGATTGAATCTGTAAATGGTTTTTATAGATAACAGTCTATCAAGTTGATAGTATATGGTGATATATGTCAATTCGCTTATGAACTGGTTGTGCCTCATAGAATTGGCAGTATTGTGATATGAGCGTCTATCAAGTTAAGATTTTGCAAACTAATGGTAGGTTTTTTAAATCTGCCTCTGGTCAAATGCTCAAGATTTTCATGTTCTTAAACGTAAAAGCAGAGTTGCCAATCTCTCAAACATGCAGTTTATGTTATGTGAGGACAATGGCTACTCCATGGAGTTTTAAGATGGTGATGGGGTTGTCTTTATCTACTCAGATTCGTTCCATAGCAGTTGCAAAATAATGTGAGCAAAATTGTTCCTAAGACATTTGTGGTCTTATTTAACCTCTGTTATTATGTAACTAACATTTCCTGAATGGAAATATCCCACAAAGTTTCTCTGCATTTTCAATGGCAAACCGTATATATGTTTGTGTTTGCATTTCTCTGCTTGTAATCGTGGGAGGATTTGTTCTTTTAAGTAAATTTCTAAGTAGTGTTTCTGATTTGCGTACATGTGTCTGTTTTTGATATATACATATATACATGCACACGTACATGGACACACACACATATACACATATGGAGAGAGAGAGAGAGAGGGGGGGAAAAGAGTCATCTAAGAGAAAGTTGTTAACATATCATTTAGCTTGGAGTAATGTTTACTTTTCTGGATGAAGAAAGTGTGGATAGAAAGAAGAAACAATAATGAGATGAAATCTAACGTAGTTCATATATTACTGATGAACATGAACTTGCAAATAAGCTAATGATATAGGCATGACAGCATACTCACAGCTACAGAAATGCTCCCAGAGAGAGAGAGAGTGAGAGAGAGAGAGAGAGAGATTGATAAACTCAGAAACATGGCTGAAAAGTTGGTCACTTAGAGACTGGTGTTGGGTTGAGATGCATCTTTTTCAAGAGAGTGAATTGAATGGAGTAGAAAAGTTATGAGTCCTCTCCAGGAGAATTCCATTTTTCAGAGTTGAGCTATAACTCATGAGAATACATTGCAGGAATGAAGAGAACTCAGCTGGGGTTGAGGTTGCTGAAGAACTGCCTATCATAGAAATTTTTATTGCTATAATGGACAAGATTGGTGGTGATTGTGTGAAATATAGTTGAGAAATTCTGTAATTCAGTCATCAGGACCTCAAAAGAGTATTTACTTTGACCAGCGTTGAGTTGGTCAATATTTCATGTTTAGATAAAAGGTAAGATATACAATGCATGACAGGGGAAAGTTTGTCAGACTGACTCCTGTTGAAAAAAACTAGCCTACTGGTTTGCAATGCCATTGAAATTGATTTAGTAATCATTAAGCCAGCAAGTTCATTTCTATTGTTGCTTTGATTAGATGTCAGCTTTTGGTTAAGAAGTGGGATTGTGAACATGCAGCACTGATGACTTGTTAGTACCAGCCTTAGATGTTTGTGGCCTTCATGATTTTTCATCTTTTTGAACCTTTTCCTTTCATTGCTGTTGAGCAGGCAAAATGGTATTACTACGTCCTTCTTGCAGTTGTTGATGTGGAGGCCAATTTTCTAGGTGAGAATTACATGCATACTTTTATGATTTTTTGAATAATTAACATGTTAGATTGTTTTTTTCCTTTAAGCATCAATAAATATCTTAATTAGCGTCTCAAGACTCTCTGGATAACTAACATATTATTGTAGTTCTCTTTTTGGCTAGATATTTAAAAAAAAAAGAAGTTTTATACATCTTATGTCATCCCAAACTTTTAGACTGCGGAACTAAGTTACTCGCTCTTTCTTAAAATGTGATTTTCCACTCTCTCCCAAAATATATTGCCACGTGAAACTTTAAATTTTCAAACAAAGGAGTAGTTGATGTTGTTACATTGTATCACTCAACCCCCCTATGATTCTTGGAATTAATTGCACAAACCCAATTGTTGACCTTTTACTGTCTGTAATGTCATTTTTGGGGCTCTAAGTAGAAATTTCCACTAATTTTCTAAATCCTATACCTCAATGGCTGCAATTAGATTTTTATGTCAATATTTTGGTAGGTGGTGAATAGTTCACTGTAAAGAAAAGTTGAGATGGAAAAAAGAAAGTGAAGGCAGAGAGAAAAGATGGAAGAACTGATTTTTTTGTAATATACAAGTTGGTGGAAACTGAAAGATACTGTGAATGCGTGTTGAGGGTTGTCTGAGATGATAACGTGAAAATTTGGAACTTGAAGCTCCCAGAATAAAAGTATTGATTTAAAATTTAGGCATCGAAGTAGAAGAACATGTGAACTAGTAAAGACAAGAAGACAAGTCACAACAGGATTCAGTTTATCTATGAACAAATGGAAGTTATCAAAGTAAATGCAATCTTTTTGAAAGAGTTTTTTTTTCTTGTGCAATGATCCTGACATAACATTCCGTGCCATGGCTGGCAGCATTCTGTCATCCTGATTTTATTCCAAGATACAGGTAGAGCTTTGAAAATGAGATCACTGGATCAAGCCGATGGGTCAATGACTGACAGGAGAAAGAACAACCATTTTAAGCTCTTTTAACTCAGCGTTGTTGGATTATTAAATCCTATACACTTCAAAGTAATTTTAAAAAATTCAGGAAGGATTAATCTGATGTGTGATAGTGTATAAGTTTTGTCTTCTGATGTGTTTATGCTGGTACTTGGAGAAAGTTACCCACTCACGTGTTTTCCTTACTAGTGTATTCTGGAATGAGAATGAGGAAAAAGGAATATTTTCCCAAGCTTATATATGAAAATGAAAAACGAGATTTTTTGCGGAAACTTTAAAAATTATTGCAAAATGGCATTTATCTTCCTCTAGATTATGATTTGGTTTTTGGTTGATCTACAGTGGTGAAGTCATACCAGTACACATCCATAACTAGTGTAATGCTACTGGATTGTTGGTCAATCCCGTGTGTCATATTGCTTACATGGCTTTTTTTGAAGACAAAATACAAATACAGAAAATTTGTTGGTGTTGCAATCTGTGTGGCTGGGCTGGTGTTGGTCATTTTCTCGGACGTACATTCAGCAGATCGAGCACGTAAAGTCTTTCTACCTTGTTTTTCATGTATATTTTTTCCTTATTGATAAAAGTTGTATAAGTGCAATCACCTGATGGGATTTACCCTTCCTTTCCCACATGGCCACGTTATCAAAACTGGGTAACATACAAACCCAAAAGTTTAATAATATGAATCATTTGTTTTGCTTCCATTGCTTTCCATTTTTTATACTTCTTGCACAGAGTGAGACTTACATCTTATCCATTATCAAATTTTTTGGACTATATACAATGGAATATGTCTGCATGTGTTTCTTGTAACATGTGGGTCAAGGCTTATTCTCTTTTGTTATCTTGTAGTCAATGGTTGATAAACAATGCAAAGTGACCTTACTTTATGGGCATCTTAATTTTATGCTTTCTTGAGTGAGTTAATGCTTGATCTCAAAAATTTATACATATATATATGAATTGCAAAATTGGATTAAAGGTAGAAGTAATGTTGTTACTAATTCTTTTAATTTGGCTATGGATTTTTCAGTTTCATTTGCAGCATTCCATTTGTCATATTGCAGCCTTTGCTTTTAATTTTGTATTTTATTTATTGATGATGATATGTCTGTAACCGATAGTCAGTATTTTTCAAGTTTTCCTTTTCTCAAAAAGTAAGTATAATTAAGTTGAAAGTGCCATTTCCTTTTCTACAGGAAAGAATTTAGAATAATGCGAGGTTATTATCTTCTTGCAACCTTGTACACATGTATATTGTTTCTAAACGAAAAGAAGGCTATTGTGTTCTTGTACTTGCAGTGATTTATTTCTGGTCTCACAATGGTTTGCATGCTGCATGATCCATTGAATCCGCATTTACTGGACAGATTTTGCTATCCAGTTTTCACCTTGGTTATCTTGTTGAGTATTCATTTGATGTTCATATTTGGAATTACTTTTTCTTTCACTAATTTAATTGTCTGGCTGTAGATGGCAGCAATCCAATTAAAGGCGATATACTTATAATTGCTGGGGCTACACTTTATGCTGTCAGTAATGTCAGTGAGGTTGGTAAAATCAACAATCCGAACCTTTTGCATATACAAAATGATTAATCTGCCATCAGAAAAGTCATTTCTGCCTTCAATATCTGTCTCATTTAACCATTTCCTGTTACAGACTTGAAATTCGCTCAAGATAAAAGTGAGTAAAATTCCATCTATGTGCGCATACACCAGACATATGCACATATTTTTGTTTCTGCTTTTTTTTGGGGGGGTGGGGGGGAGGGGGGGAGGGCTCAGAGAAGAAGTGAGAGAGCGAGAGCGGAAGCTATAAGCATTGTTCTGGAATTAAAAGGGTCCTTGACCTGTAACCCTATGTGTTATATAAGCAGCAGTTGCTTGCCCAAACTTTGCTACTATTAGCTTTACTTTCAAAATAATGCCAATCTGTCTATTACCTTGATTTTGGTTGGAGTCTATTACCTTGATGGTGCACTATAAAAAAGCAGCTCTGATGTTAAGTCCGAGGCTACTGTAAATATTACTTCTTTTTTGGCAAAATGTCCTTGGAATGCTTCCATGATCATCTGTGGCAAGACATGATATTCTTTTTCTCATGGGATGTCACAAGTCTATAACAGTTAAGAACCATTCTATGGGATGCTTTCTTACTTTTTACTGGGGTTGATTGTTAATAAATTGGAAGTTTGACAGCCTCTGCTCAAGACCTGAAAGAAGAAAGCAAGGTGTTGAATGGGCAGAAGTTTCCGTCAGAAGAAGTTTATGTTTATAATTTGATGGCTTTGGAAGGCTGAAAGAAGTGTTTCTGATTTTAATGGACTCATCTGGATAAAAGCTATCAATACACAGAGCCAGACAAAATGAGTTTTAGAGCAGAGGCGGAGTGATTCTTAAAATTTGTTTTATGTATATACTGATGGTTGGCTTTACTTAAAGGCAGATCCCAAGAGATATTGGTGTTTACATGCAGACTTGTATGTCCATATGTTTATGTTCATGTGCATACAGTAAGCTAATAAATGGAATTCTTTGACTACTCTCTTCTATGACAATTGCATGAAGTTGGCGTCTAGTGTATCTCTTGTAACCATATTTGTTATATTTCTTTTCCCTAAATTGATCTGAAGTTGGTGTTAGTAATCCTTCTTATTCTATATACAGGAGTTTCTTGTCAAAAGTGCTGACAGGGTTGAACTTATGGCATTCTTGGGCTTCTTTGGTGCAATTGTCAGTGCTTGCCAAATGTATCCTTTATAAGATTTGCATGCTTCTACTTGTATTTGACATATAGATGTCGTGCCTGTAATGATTCAGGTCAATCCACTTATTATTATTAATCAAACAGCCTTCAATGTTGTTTTCTTTTGGTAGCTGTTTTATTTAGTATAAAACTCACTTGTACGAACTGTATGGGATGGAGTTTGGAGAGCTCTGATGCCTAAACTGCATTCCTTCACCTGTTTGGGAACTGTAATAAGCATATTTCTTGGGTATGCAAATGATAATATCTGCAGTTAACTAGAAGCTACCCACCATTAAATTTTGCAATATGGTTATTGATTGTCATGAATTCATACAGCCATAGTTCTGCAAAACAGGCGCTTAGTCATGTTAGTTTTTGTTTGGAAAATCACAGTATGAGATTTCTGCTTCTACAGGCCAGGAATGGGTTGACTTACTGAATAATTTTATGTCTGGGTTAGTAATTGTCCTTAATCATGTATATAGAAGCATACTTGAACGGGATGAACTCAAGTCTATTCACTGGTCAGCTGGAGCTGTGAGTCTTTCTCTCGCTCTCTCTCTCTTTTTCTCTAGCAGACACAAAATCACACAACCTCTGCTCTTCCACTGACCAACCCTTTTCTTTTTCAAAAAAAAAATAGTAAGTAAATGCATGAGCTTTCCGAGATGTAAAAGCCAAGCTATTGAATACATCTCTACAGAAATATGACCAAATTCTATGGAATATTTTATTCACCTGCTTACGTTGACACTATAAATTATACGCTCACACTTTTTTCCTGTCTGTAAATATTAGGCCACTTTGTATGTTGACATCAAAAGAAAACTTAGAAGTGTAGATTTTTGTTTTGACCACGTTCTGTTGATCTATAAATGGGTGTATTTTTAGGTTTACGAGTTATCAGATGTGCAATTAAATTTTAATCGTGCCCAACAAATTTTTTGAAGTTTGATGACTTAAAATCAATTTTTGGTCCTAGATATGCATGGGCAAGTTTCTAGATCTTTTATGTTTTCAAGTTACTCTTTTTTGAGGTTAATGGTCCCCAATCGACTTGTCTTACTTCCCATTTTGGTCAATCCTGAATATATTGCCCTTTCTACAGCAGAAACATTTAATACACAAATATCCCATACTTTATAGACTAAAGAAGATAAATGCACCCATATGGTTGTCCCCAGAATGTGTCGTTACTTTTTCTTCACATGTTTATATGTTTTCAGCTCTTCTGTAAAAGTTATGACTTGTCAAGCTAATGGATTCAGTCTAGAATGGTAATAATTATTTTTAAATACTCCTTTCTGGGACCTTTTTCGTAACTAAAGACAACTTTATCAAAGTTGATCAGAAAAGCATGGAGAAGATAGAAAATGTTTTGTGTCAAAGAGTTGTATGTACATCTCTGCTTTATCAGTTCAGTTTTAATTATCGCTTCTTTGTATGCATGTTATGTATTTTCCTTTAGTAATTTCTTAACATTATCCCTGTATTTTTCCTTGCAATCTTTTGGTTTCAGGCTCTTCCATTTTTTGGATTTTCAGTGGCTATGTTTTTCTTTTACTCATTGGTCCCTGTCTTACTAAAGGTATGGATTAACTTGGAGTTTCCTACACATGTTTTCAGTGTTTTCAATACAGATGAGGCTTGTTTTCTCAGGTGCTAGAAAAGACAGCTATGTAGTTGTTTCAAGAAACATGCTTGATGATGTCCACTAAAGTTTCCCTTTGACGAATTAATTTGTCTGTGTCTTTTCACTTTGATGCCATACTTTACTGTATCCTTTTTCGACTTTTTGTGTTTTCATGTGTGATCCTCTTATAACATGCCCCTCATCCTAAGCAACCAATTGAAAATCAGCTTTATGAATGCAGGCAGCAAGAGTTTTTTCTTGAGGCCAACTTTACAAAATTGTTTGAAATATTATTTGTAGCCAAAGATGGATTGACCACCAATAAAGGGGATCAAAGTTGAATAAAGGAGCATCACCAAGCGAGGTTTTTTCTTGCGGGTGACAAAGGACCAGTTTTCATAGAATTGATATAGAGCACTAGAAGTACCAAGGGAGGAAAAGCCATCTGAAATGTCGTCTTTGTCTTCTTCGGACCAATCTTAATAGTTTCCCTGCAGCCCAATCCTTTCTTGTTCCCTTGCTATTTCTTTGTTCTTCATATTCTCATGCATGGCATGAAGGGGGTATGAATCTTGGTTTCACTGCCTGCTAATAGTAAGTAGGGGTAGAACTTACACTTATAAAAGGTAGATAAACCATCACTGACGTTGTAGATTAATGGCAAACTGGAAACTTACTGTGTCCCAATGTTAATGTCATGCTTTGACTCCCTTTTGGTACGTCCCACAATTAGTGTCTCCTACCCACAATCTCAAACTACTTTTTTTCTAGTTTCCAGCTCTTACCCATATTGTTTTACTACTGTGTTTCCATAGTTTGTGGGCACATAAGTTTTCAAACAAGGTTCCCTTCAACACTCAAAAGATTGCAGTTGAGCATGTATCATATACACTAAAAATGATCATTGTAGAATTGTTAAAGTTTGTAACTATGCAACAACAGAGTTCAACTTTTCAGTGGCCAACAAAAGGATTTTATGACCCAATTAAATCAAATATTGCTTATCATGACAATTCTTGTGCTTCTAATATAAAAAATGGCAATTCAAGTCAATAAAATTGGATACAAGTTCTTATGAATGTCCATGTTTTCATTCTGCACTCATGGACTCCTAAACACAACCATAAATTTGGGATGGAGGGGGTATATGTTTTGCTTCCTTGGTTATCCATATTTGTGAGGGCACTTCACTCAATTACGTTGAAATTCTTGTTTCTTACTGAAGGCCTCTCCTTTTATGCAGATTAGTGGTTCCACAATGTTGAATCTATCGTTACTTACATCAGACATGTGGGCTGTTCTAATTCGTATCTTCGCGTACCATGAAAAGGTTCAACTGGATCAACAAGAATTGAACTGTTGAATAGTATTACATTCTATATAACAAATTTGAGTAGCTGTTTCTTCTACCTTTTTCTAACCTATTTTTCTTTGCTGTCCAGGTTGATTGGATGTACTTTGTAGCATTTGCTGGTGTTGCTGTTGGGCTCGTAGTTTATTCAGGGTATAAAAACATATACATGTTCTCTCTTTTTGTTCAGAGGAGTAGTAGTGAATCTAATGGATGGCTATTTTATGTTTTGGCTCAACTTTAGCTCTTCTTGCAGTTTACCAGCTGATTAGATGAAGCTTCTTACTTGATCTTTACACAAATTGATAAAGCAAGATATTCTTGTTTTGCATGCGTTAGCTGTCTGATGTGTGCTAAATGGCCATAGGCTTTTAAATGGCCCTAAAGAGAAGGATTGCAGAAGATCACATTCTGCTGCCTTTTCTATGTTGCATACATTGCCATATTAATCAATAGGTTTACTGGATGTGCTACTACATATAAAGCTTATGGAAGTGTTTGGTGCAACGTCACTTTCTAAATTTCCAAAACTATCTTTTAACAAAATATTTTCTATAATTACATCCAAGCATGAATCAGTAATCTAACTACCACCTACTTCTTGCTTTTCAAACTCACTAACAATGAGTACCATATCTTCTCCTCACCTCCTATTACTACTGAAGTCTTTAAAGGTTTTCCTCTTATATTTCTTTTCCGGAAGAAGTTGAACACAAGGAGTGCCTCTGCCACTAGTTTGATTAAGTGCTAAGCCTCTAGAGTTTTTTACTGTGCCAGGTTTCAGCAGTTTGATTACTGCATATTTCTTCCTGTTGATTTTGTTTCTGGTGGTTTTTTGTTGAAAGAGTTTGTCTAAACTTAATTATCTTTTTATCCTGGCGAAGTTGATGTTTTGTACTTGTTTGGTAAAGTACAACCTGTTGATTATATTGAAAGGGGAAAAAAAATTAGAAATATTCTTTTAGATCTGTGGAATAGATTTTATCAAGTATCCTACTTCTAAGGAGAATGTGCCGCCTGGTGCCAAAACTTGAATGGTTCTAGATTTGCCTTAACAAATGTTTTCTGCAGTTGGTTGTTACCTGTTCCTATACTTGTCCATACTGTTCTTGAAGTTCCTTTAAAAGTAGTTAGAATAGTTATGTTTTCACGGTTTATGATATCTACTGCTGCAAAGTTTAGTCAATTAGATGACCTTAACCCTTCAAACAATAATGAGTTGGTTTATGACTTTGGTTGGAATTGAACCTAACCTAAGCGTGTTGTTAATCCATCTGTTGATCAAAACGTCATCCTAACACGAATGTCACAAGTACAAGGTGGTGTTAACCAAAACAAGTTTGATTTGTAGCCGTTTGGCAAAGTTGTGGTTCATCAATCTCTGATTTACTTCTGTAGATATTTGTCTCTGAATTGCAGAGACCTATATTGGAACAGCAAATAGTTTAGACATTCATGAGTGCATCATTCAATAACTACACCTTTTTGGTAGCAAACTAACGAGTCTCTGTGGCTGCCTATGTTGTGTAGGAGCGATAAAGAAGAGGATGGAATTCGCACTGAGACTGGTGATGAGCAGCAAAGCAAGCATTTCGACGAGGAAGCTGGCTCAGGAAGCTCATCAAGAACCGTTTATAACAGCAGGCCTGGTGTTACCTCCACCAGTGCTTCAGAGAAGGACAAGATTCCAAGAGGCAAAGACATGGCTAGAGAAACACAAGGGAACAAATTTTGGCATCTAGGGGTTTACAAGGGGTAGACAGTAGTTGCTTGTTAGCTATGCAGGATGATGTAGAACTTGACTTCCCTAGTGGTAAGGGGAAATAAAGGCAAGAAGCCAAATGGGGTAGAATTTAAATTTAAAAAAAAAAAATTGCTCGTATCCATTGTCAAAAAATCATTTAATTTGGTGGCTCCATGAGCAATTTGCAATTTTACATGGTTGATGGGTATCCAAAATTCCATCTATTAGTTTTCTTTGTTCTAGTTATGAGTTTTACTTGGGATCCATAGTTTTGGTTTCATACTAGATTCTTGGGAAATTTAAGTTTGGAGGAGAAGAGGTTAAAAATATTTCTAGATTTGAGACGTGACAGATTTGAAAAATACATCATTAGTTTGCAAATTCCCTTTGAAATTGTACAAAGAAAAGCTAAAAATAAATGCTTTTGAAATGAAAGCAAAGATGGCACAATCCAAGATTTTCTATTCAACCATATCACCCATCTGTGTATTTTATTTCTCATACCCCAAATTTGTAAGCAAGGATGGAGGAATGGTTGAGCCAAATCCCTGCATTTCATTATTTTCCTCCAAATCTATGAGCAACTAGAAATTGAATTGACTTCCCATAAACTTCTCCCCTTTGAGCATTACTGAGTGAATCCATCTCCACCCATAAAGTGTCTTTTTTGCTGCAAATGTTCCAAACTAGCTAAAGCAAGTATTCCACTGAGCTATGTTTTTTATTCCCAAACCACCTTCCCTCTTTGGCTTGCAAATATCACTCCATTTCGCCTTTAGCTGCATATTGTCCTTTTAAATCACCAGACCATGAAAAAGAGGCCAACATCCCATAAATCTTATGGATATTGTTGTCCAGTGTAAGCGGATTGGAATTCTATCAAAATAAATAAATTATTAAAATTGTACACATTGGTAAGAGAGAATTTTTGTTTTCAATTTACCATTGTCACAATCCATTTCTAGATGAAGTGGAAGAAAAAAATAAACACCAGAAGACAATAAGCTTGACTAGAAAAATGCCAAGCTTGAGTGGGACTAAAGTTTAAGGGAATAAATTGTAGAATTAGTTACAAAACTCCTCTTAAGTTAGCCAATTTTGTATTTTAGCCCCTAAAATTATTTTTTCTCACTTTACTCCCTAAACTGTTAGTCAACTTGATGTTGTATAACGATAATGTCAAAAATAAATTTACACCCCTAAAAGTTAATTGTATTAAATCCTTTTGCAATTTGCCCCCTTACATCATTTTGTTCCCAATTTCTCCTTTTGTCCCAAAACCGTCGACCAATTTAGGACAAATAATGTCTAATAACATTAATATTGCTGACATAATAATGTAAAAATAATACATTTATGGATATGGATTTAATTAAATCTCATCCCATAATTACACTTTTTTGTACATCGAGTTTTCACAGTGATAAGGAAAAAGTTTAACAAAAATATTACTATTAAAAACTAAATTGTGATAGTATTTTTAAAGCTCTAAATATACATGGGTAGCATCTATATTATATTAAAAATGAACCTAGAATATTTATAAGCCAAATCTATCATGTTTCTCTCCTTTATTTAGGATTACCAGTAAAAAATGTATACTTTCATGTTAAGAAAATATCTAGCTATTAAAAGAAAGTGCAGCTACCTGTGTGTCTTGAAATAGAGACCAACAATATCCATGGATTTTTAGGCCTTTAGTAATATTTTCACATTTTAATTCTTCAACAATAATTTTCGTTAATTTTTTTTCCCTTATCACATGAAATGAGTAAGATATTTCCCTCTATCTAGAAAAAAGTGTAATTATGGAATGAAATTTAATTAGATTCATATCCATAAATATATTATGCAATCATTATTGTAATAGAAATATTATTTTTTTTAGACATAATGTGTCATAAGTGTCATAAAGTATTGGAGATAACTAATGGTTTTTAAAACAAATAGACAAATTGAGAAAGGATAAAAAATGTTAATGGGTACAGTTCAAAACATGCTATACCTTAAGGTGTAGTTTAGGAGTTGGAGTTTTGGGCTAAAAGTAGAGGAAAAGAAGAGAAAGTCAGTTTTCCCTTGTTTGATAGTTTTTAGAAAGAACAAAAAAAAAAATAATAATAATAAGGGAAGCGGGAGGATTTGGAGGAATATAGTGTAGCATTATAGTGGCCCAAACTTTAAGGTAGAAACCTGAATGAAGCTTGTTAAATTTTTAAAATTTACTTATCTTTAAAATGTTTTTGAAAAAATATTTAGTGACTTACATATTCAAAATCATTTCACTTATTCTCCAAACTCCCAAACAACATCACATTCTTTTCTTTTCTCTTGTTTCTCTTATTTTCTCTGAAAACTTGAAGTTTTCCCTTCTGTCTTAAACTCTCAAACTAGCCCTAAGCGGATTTAGGCTTAGTTTGAGAGTTTAGGAGAGAAGAGAAAAGAAAGAATAAGTTATAACAAAAAAAGAAATTCCTATGAAAAAAAGAAAAGAAGAGAAAATATATATGATTTTCTTCTCAAGTTGATTGAGAGTTTAGGAAAGAAAAAAAATGATTTTGGACATATTAGATATTATAATTTTATTGTTTAACATTTTATGGGTAAAGTTGGCATTTGAAAAAGTTTATGAAGGTTAAGTGGAACTTTCCTTCATTTCTTTCCATTTATAGGATGAAAGTTTTTTAACCAATCCATCCCTCCATTTCCTTCCACTTTCCTTTCTTTTCTTCCCACGTAAATCTTCCAAACAAGGGAAAACTTAATTTCCTAATTTTTTTCCAAATCTCAACTCCCAAACTAAGTCTTGCAGTAATTAACCTCTAGGTGTGTGTATGTTTATACACACATATATATACTTGATAGATTAATAATCTCTAGTATGTAACAATTTTTGTCAGTCTCGACTTGGGCTAACAAGGCAAATTAGTAATTTTGATAAAATAATAAAATAATTTAAACACCTTAACATAACCCTTTGTTCCTATTCATAACATAAATTAATAATTCACTAAAATTACATATAATATTTTTCTAAATATATGAGTCTAATTGTTGATTTATGAACACCTTTTAAATGGAACACCATAGTTTAACAATGAGATATATAAGAAAGTTTTGTGTTTATTTATTATAAGAAAACTTGTGGCGACCCTACTTCCCCCTAAGGCGAACCAGAGGGTTGGCGGGCCGTCTGTCTAGCTCTCGCCAGGACTCACGCAAGCAAGCTAGCAAAAATCCTTCCGAAGTATAACCTAATCTATTACAACATCGTTTCCCTCCAAATAGGCCGGTTTCTAGAATCACATTAATTTCAGAGATAACAGTGCCTTAAGATAGCCAACGTCGATTCTTAAAATACCTTCCCGATTACGATCCAAGAAACAAAACATACAATTCAAATACATCCTTACAAGCCAAGTAACAAATTCATACAAGCCACATACAAATCCAGGGTTTACACTTTTCCCACTTCAAGTGGCAACCCAAGGCAAAACTACATTGTTTAACTTGAATTACAATCCTAAAAGTAAACAATCTAGTACTACTTCCGGCACCCTTGGTCTCAAACCCTATAAAAGAAAACCACAACGTGGGATGAGCTACATAACCCAATGAGATTCCAAGACACTCTAACAGTTCAAACAAATCAAGAAAGTTGTGCATGTCATATGCATGGTTCGAGGTTACACAATAGCATGCTATCATGAGGTGATAATCATTACTCGGTAATTGCTACTTTGAAAACACATGTAGAAGTAGTACATTTGCTGGTAACCTTACTATGAGTACAACTCATAAATTATCTAAAATCACTAACGTATTTTTGGAATGAATGACCATATAAATATATTTTCATGAATTTTTAGTCAAACAAATAGTGGCTCGTCTGACTAGAAAAACATTACAAGGATTGCTTCATCTCAGAGATTAATGCTCATGAGGAGTCTTACCCGAGAAATGTCAACTAGGAGAGCAATAACATTATTAATAGCAAAGCAAGCACAAAAGGATACAGTACTCGGTCCACTTTCCATCCTTATAACTCCGATCGGTAACTCCTTCGGTTGACTGGCCATCACCTTATCCCTCCAGTGGTAGTACTCGAGTATACCGAAACGGTTGTCCAGGGTTCCAACCTACCCGACCGAGCCCAGTCCTGGCTCGAGTAGGTTAGTAACCGAGGCAGGGCCCAAGTTCAGCTTATAGCTTACAACATGCACAGGTAACCAAGTAATTCAACAAAAGGTAAAATTCATCATTTGAATAGGTCGAGTGAGGTAAAGTACACACTCGCCTAACAATGATGGACAACTTCATATAACATGTGATTCATGACAATCAAGTAATCAAGTGGATACTTAGCACGTAAGCACGTAAGCAATACAAGTTGATTTCATGGGAGCATGTAATTCACGGATAACGAATAGTCATGTAGATTGAAAATCATGTGAGCAAATAGTCAAGTAATCAGGTAGTCATGTGGGTTGGTAAACGGTTCACGGTTAACGGTTGATGGTTAACGGTTGAGTAATGACGGTTATTTGGCAGGCATTTGCCATATTAATAGGCCATCATTGGCCGTTATCCCATTTTTACCATGTGAGAGTCGAGGAGATTCATTCCAACGACGTATACAACCATAGCATACCAAGTCATGTTATTCGAGCATTTTCAAGTATGGGTATGGTAAATATTTAACACATAGTACTTAACACTTAGTAATCATGAAATGAGCATGTCCTAGACTTATTCCATTACGTATTCCTATATGGAACACTCACCTAGTCAAACAAGCGCAATAGGTCTCAAACAAGCATTTTAGGCGTCCGCTCCGAGTTCCTCTTGGAGATCTCCTCGATTGCCTGAGCAAACAATAATTCAAGTACCACTCAATATCGCTACGAATTCTCTAGTTTTCGATGAAGATTGTACACTAGTGCAATCTAAGAAATTAACGCGGAGACGAGCCTAAGAATTCGTGTAACTCAAGGTTCAAAAGTGGGGTTTTAAAACACAAGACAAATCTGATTTCCATCTCTGGATTCAAATGTAAAACAATCAAATGATATTGAAAGAAATGAAGAGTTCGAAACCCCTTATTTTCCTTTAAGTTAGAAAATTTCAGATTTAACAAGTAATTTTTGAAAAATCATATCTTACTCTCTACAAGCCCAAAATTGGAAAACTTGGTACTATTGAAAACCTCTTTGAAAGTACTAAAAGTTCCTAGAATACACTTTTC